AAATTTACAAACAATTACTCATTTTTTATATAAATTTTTTTATTGAATTTGTTGAAATTTATAAATTATATCTTTTGATATTATTTTTTTAAATAGAGTTTAAAAAATAAATTTCTCTTAATAAGCTCCCATAATGTTCTTACTAAATTAATTTAATTTTAAAAATTTGTGATTGGACATTTTTAATCATTTTATAAATGATTGTATTAACTTCAATAATATATTCAATTTAATGAATAAAATTTATTTAATAATATATTTCGTGTATAAATTATAATACTATATTTAATTGCGTCATTTAATACTATATTTCGATTTAACCCTTCACTAGAAATGTTAAAAATCACTTAAACTTCAAAGGTAGTGTCTATTTTATCCCTAATGCAAAATTAATAAAAATTAGATTTAAATAAAAAATTAAATTTGTAGGCAAAATTCTCCTAAAAATAACTTAAATATTTTACCACAAAAAAAATTAAATTTGTATGCAAAATCTCCTAAAAATAACTTAAATATTTTACCACAAAAAAAATTAAATTTGCAGGCAAAATTAACCTAAAATATGCGAATTAATAATTCCTATATTTTACCACAAAACAATTAAATTTGTAGGAAAAATTCTCCAAAAAATAACTTAAATATTTTACCACAAAAAAAAATTAAATTTATATGCAAAATTCTCCTAAATATAACTTAAATATGCGCAATTAATAATTCCTGTATTTTACTATAAAAAATTTATAGGCAAAAATAAAAAATTTAAAAAAAAACCATAAAAAAAATAAAAATAATATACCCCCCCCCCCCCAGACAGTGTTAACACTTTATTAAAACTTATTTGGTGGCAATTTTTTTTATTTAAAAAAATGATATTCATGTTATATACTAAATTTTTTATATAGTCATTTTTGATGATGATTTAAAAAAAAGAGGATCAATTCAGATTTTAAAAAAATCTCCAAATTTATTTTTAGAATGTAAAAATTGTATTAGCAATACACATTAAAGTAAAATAATAATTGGGATGATTATATAGTGTTGGTGTTGTAATGAAATGTATATAAAAATTGTATGATTAAAAAAGATAACTTTGTAGTCTATATATCTATTTATAATATGTTAAAATAGGATAAATAAAAAAAAATATGCATAAAAACAAGACAAATACAATCAACTAAAATACTTTTGGTAAAAAATATAAAATATCAACATTTGTAATTAATTTTCAAAATCAATAACATTTACAAAATGGGATTCAGAATTGTTAATATAAATGTTTTGGTCAAATTTTTTTATATTTCCATCATCATATTTAAATGGTGGATACATTTGCCAGCAAAATGAAGCCCCATACCTAGCATACACCAATATCGGGGTATTGAGAAGTGGCAACACTTCGCAATTCAATATCCGTTGCCCATTCACCATTCTACTTGCCTTTTCTATTATATACTATTGCACATCATCTTCACACGTATTTTGACCTTGAGTATAATCTAATATATTTTTTATCATTATTTTTTGCAGCATCAGCAAGACCATATGTATCTAATCAAACCATAGGAGTCTTGTTTTCCTGTTATCTCCATACTTATACATCCAATTATTTTTTAAAAGTTACTCTTTCTAAAAACCTATCAATGTTTTAAAAAAATAATATTATGAATTAATATAGGATATAATCATTAAAATTTAAGGTAAAGAAAGAAACAAAACCATATTTGATGTATATTAGTAAAAAAAATACAACCAAAATTATTTTTAAATTTTTAAATTACCGGTAAAAACAATTCCCATCTAGCTCAATTGTTTCCAATCGTGATGGAGCAGTTAGCACCCTTCCTATATTTTGAGAGACTTTCTTTTTTTGCTGACGCTAAATTTAAGCGAGTAGCATGATATTTCCTCCAAAGTAGTTGGATTATAAAAATGTTTAAATGTATGTTGAATGATTTTAACGAGTGGGTCATCTATGGCTTTAAATATTTAAAAAAATTAAATTAATCATGATATTTAAGAATTACAATTAACTGTATATAATTATAAAATTACAATTTTTGAACTTTGAGTCTGAGTATACAAAGTCTACTAAGTCCACTTGAAGATCCTTCAAAAGGTGTAAAGAAGATTTTTATAGTTTACTAAATATTGGGAAATAAGTAAGGTATTACTATGGTAATACTTTTTGGTGACATTCTAAAATCTGATATATAAAGATTTATGTATTTTAAAAAGGTATTACTATGGTAGTACTTTTTGGTGACATTCTAAAATCTGATATATAAAGATTTATGTATTTTAAATTTTTATATTGCTTTATAGTTTACTAAATATTGGGAAATAAGTAAGGTATTACTATGGTAGTACTTTTTGGTGACATTCTAAAATCTGATATATAAAGATTTATGTATTTTAAAAAGGTATTACTATGGTAGTACTTTTTGGTGACATTCTAAAATCTGATATATAAAGATTTATGTATTTTAAAAAGGTATTACTATGATAGTACTTTTTGGTAACATTCTAAAATCTGATATATAAAGATTTATGTATTTAAAATTTATATTGCTTTATAGTTTACTAAATATTGGGAAATAAGTAAGGTATTACTATGGTAGTACTTTTTGGTGACATTCTAAAATCTGATATATAAAGATTTATGTATTTTAAGTTTTTATATTGCTTTATAGTTTACTAAATTTCGTCCACGATATTATTTATACATCCATTTTATTATAAATACAAATTTTAAATGATTCGTTAAATTTTCGTAACTTTTTTATCGATTCGGAAAATGCGTATAAATAAGAAAAAATATAACTTTTATTTCTTGCTAATACGCCATTTGGCGTAAGTCTATCATCTCCCCCTCAATTGATAATGGTTTTTAAAAACTACATAAGGCTATATAATTCCTAGCAACTTACCTTGACAAAAGGTCATGAAACTAATATAATTCTGTTACCATTTTAGACATTGTTTTATAGAATGAACTAATAAGAAAAAATTTATAGGCCTTACCAAATTAACAATTCATGAAGAAAAGAATATAAGAGACCAATCCAAATCATAAAACTATATGGTAGTTAGAGCTTCCTCATAGATGGATGATGGAAGCTAGATAAGTAATCGAGAAAATTATTGTGAAATATCAAATTTCTAAAAGATTATCTTCCATTTTTATAGTATATAAACGACTACACAATTAACCATTATTGCGTATCTAAAATGTGCAATCATATGCTCTCAGCAGCTGTAGTAATAATCTTAAATTACATATCCACACAAATAATAGATGCTGGTTAATTTACAGTCACAGCCATGACACTCACGATGGTAACTTATATCAGAATTTATTATATTAAATAAATTGATGAAGCAAAAACACTAAAACTCTTTAGAAGAAATTATTCAAATATGTTGAAGTCTTGAGTTATTATACATCAAGGATGACATATTAGAAATGAAACATTTTGTAACTATAGAATAATAAGAGTGATATCATGAAAGCATTTAAAATTTTATATATTATTTTCGCACCATCTCAAGTTGGTATATTATATCTTAAAATAATAGTAAGTTTGTAATAATATCTAAAATATATTCGTATTAAAAATTTAACTCAAAACTATTTTTCAAAGAAGAATAAAATAGCTTTCCTAAAAACAAGTAAAAAAAGAAAGATATCTAATTTATTACATCCATTGTGGGATGAATAATAAGATGTTAAATTATAACAAAACAAATTGTTATTTATATTTATTATCAAAAGCATTGATTAGTAAAATTTTAAAAGTATTAACTGTAATATATTATATAACTGTCAAATACGTCTGCAAAAGTGGCATTTTACCTAATATTTTATAAATATTTATATAATAGAAGATTATAAACTATATGTCTAACTACTTTTTATAAATAAATCTCTTATACTTATTTAGATTTGGATCTTGAAAATGATTTTAGAAAGAGACATGATAATTAAATATAAAAATGTTAATTACAATTAAATTTGTTAATTTTAATAAATGATTATATTAATTTAATTAGGGTTATATAATAATTTAAAAATAAAAGTCAATTAAGATTCAACTATGCTAAATTAATATTTAGTGAGTGATATTGACATATTTTTAACACAGAATTTGATTGCAAGCTGACATAGTGAAAATATAATTTAAATGTATTAATCGAATCTAATAATTAAAATAGTATTCATTTAATATAAATCTAGATTAATTTTTAAATAATAAAATTAAATCTATATATTACTCAATAGAATTATAAAAGAAATTGTTCAGGGGCAATTAATAAAAATTATTTTTAGTTCAAAGGGATATTAAGGAATTATTTAAAAAAAAATTTTTGCTTCAGGGGGCTATTTAAAATTTTCAGGGGGCTCGAGCGCCTGCGCCGCCTATCTCCTCCCTCGTAGCGACGCCCCTGCATGAGTATCTTTTTAATTGTTGCAAATATTCATTCTTATTATATCGTATTTTATGTTCCTCCCCTTTAAATGATAAAAATTGAATTTTATACTTAACTATTCTAATTTAACTGGTAATGATAATTATCTTGTATTTAAAATTCTATCATGTATCTTTTTTATATTTTGAATAAGATACTAATTTCTAAATCTGCATTTTTTTTATAACGAATCCATATCAAGATTCCTTTTCCGATCATTTTTTGTATATTTTGTTTGAACTCATCTAAATTATAGAATTTAATTTATATATTATAATAACTGACCTATCTATCAATGTTGGATGGTCATGTGATTTTGATAAAATGCCCTTCATTTTTGGAAATAGCAACATTCATCTAAAATATTTCTACTATAAATAAACGAATTCATCGCACATGTTTTCAAAAATTTCAAAATTATTTGAAAACCCATTTTATAGGATAATGGCAATTGATATTTCATATAAGCAACTGTTTGACAATTTTAATAACTTGCAGAATTATGAAACTTTATCAAAAAATTTACACATTAGACGAATAAAAAATATTAATTTAGCCAAGATATTTAATAATTTTAACGAATATAATTCATCTAACAATTTGCCAAATAGTGAATTATATGATGCTATTTGTAGTGACTTGAAATTTTTTCCAAATAATGTGCACCCAAATGTTTTTTTACTCAATGATATTGTAGAAGAAAAAGGTACTGTTGTTGACACATTAAATATTAAAAAGGAAGGTAAAGATTTAATATCATTTGAAAACTGCCTAAATAAATATCAAATTGGCAGGCATGAAAACCTAGGAAATGTTACTGGACCTAAATCCTATTATTATTTTAATAATTTAGCCTTGTTAGAGAGAGCTCTTTTCAAATACATTATGGAAATATTAATTAAAAATAATTTTATTATAATCAATTCACCATCTATCATCCATAAGTCATACATAGAAGGTTGTGGATTTCCTTTAGACAGTGTAAGAGATCAAATATATTATCTGAATCCGCACATATTTCCAAACATTTGCATGGCTGGCACATCTGAAATTCCTTTAGCTTGTAATTTTATTTTTTGTATAATTTTATTCTAGATATTTTAGCATATTTTAGCAATATAACTTTTTTAAGAAAAGAATTACCAATCAAGTATATATTCTGCTAATTTATATTAAATTTATAACAGTTAAGAGTTTGTGCAATTAGTCGCTGTTATAGAGCAGAAATAACATCAAATAAAAAGGAACATGGTTTATATAGAGTCAACTATTTTGATAAGGTTTATAAATATAAATAATTGAATATATTATATATCAGAAATTTAAATATAAACTATAATATTTGAGTCATGTTATTGCTTTTAAGAAATAACTTTGATTTTAATTAACTATCATAATATTATTATTAAGTAAACTAGTTGTAAAATTAATCTTAGGAAATTAAATATATAGATTACAAATCTTTGGAAATTAAATATATAGATAGTTAAAAACAGGGACCCTGAGGACTAATAACCTTCCAGTTATGTTTTCCATAAAATTTCCAAACATGTCAATGAATATTTTTTTTCAGAAAAAATATATCCCATTGGGGATCAACTAATTGAAATAATTTTCATGCTTTCTCAGTTTAGGTCTCTAACGAACAAAAATTTACAGATGTGACATGTTTAGATATTTTATAAATAATACATGAAAGCTAATATCGTCCAATGGGGAGAGTTACTATATTTATTTTGGTAAGGTATAAGGAATTTTTTTTGTTTTTCTTTAAATATTTGATAAGGTTGTAAATTATCCTTATATACAAAAAAGTATAATTTTTTTGAGTGGTAGTTATGGCTAAGAGGTAAACCTAAAACGAATTATTTAATATTCAAATCTATTATATTAGTATTTTATGAATATGAATAACAAAATTTTATGATTCAAAAATCAAAGCAAGTTTGAATAGAGATATTATATTATAAGTCAAATAATATTTTATCCATTATTCGTATAATTTGAAATTATCCATAAATATTCAAAATTATTCATAAATATTTAACACGTTCCTTGCAGAACTTTTATTTTTAGTTTATAATATATCATTTTTATATTTTAATAATCTATTTTTGAAAATATTTTTGAAGAATTTAATTATTGAAGTGAGTAATTTTTTTTATTTTATTATTCGTACAATATAAATAAAAAAAATTCTATTTGTACAAAAAATAAGGCAATCTCAATTCGAACACACTAATCAGATACTAATAATGCATATTTGATTCTTATTTTTGTAAATATAGTAAAAGGGTTAGAGATCTCTTAACTAAAGAAGCGCACGATAAATTATTTGATTTTAAATATAATAAAACCGAAGCAAACCGTTTGAATTAGCAGGCGGAATATAACCAAAACCGTTTTACATAACGGTTTACTTATCCGGTGTCGGATTTTTGTCAACCATAAAATTTAATTTTGATTTAAGTGCTAATTATATTATATCTAATATATTAAAATAAAACTTTAGTATAAATTTTTTTTTAAAACAAATTTAATTCTAATGTATAAGGCGAAACAACAATTTCAAAAATCTAAGCATTTAAAAATAAAAAGTAAAATATGTTTTATAAAAGGCTAAAATAGCAAGTTTAATTAAGAATAATATTTAACATTAAAAAAATATCTCTAAGTCTAGAGCATACCCGATCGTTTGTTCAAGCTGTTATAAGAAAGCAAGTTAAAATAGAGCTTTGCAAAATATCTTTCGAAAAATTTGGATATTTCGAATGTTTTTTATCGCCTGCCTACTGGTTTTATTAATTCCAGATAATTAAGCAACATCTAATAATGAATAAAGTTAACTAGCATTAAAAATAATTTTTAATGGGAAAACATAAATTAAACACTAAAGTTCAAGGAACCAACCGTTATCTATAAAGGTTTCGGTTCGGGTATGGCTAAAGGGCAAAAATTTAAAAAGGCTACATGGTTATCCCCAGCTCATCTGTTTAAATTTTCATAAGTTAAAGTTCGTATACAATTTTAGAAAAATTATAAATTTTTTCGTATTTTGAAATTTTTAATATTTATATCAAATTTGTCTTAAATAAAATTATAGAAAGATAGAAAAAACGTGAAATAAATTTGTTGAGAAAATATACTACACTTTAACGAAGTATAATAAATAATATTTATCAGTAAAAATAGAACGTACAAGTATTAAGTAATATGTGCTCCTAAAATTCACATACTTAATTAAATATAATTTGATATTTGTAAATTGTAATGTGTAATGTGTATATTTTAGTCATACTGTGGTAACCTTTTAGAAAAATATTAAGGTTCATTCCGGTACGGTTCGGTTCATTTTGGTCCTTGCCTAAGATGAACTCTAATCATTATTTCTAATCACCATTTATATTAATGAAATATATTTTAAAATAATTGATAGTTAGAAATGTTTGCTATAACCTCCTCAGACCTGGATAATCAAGAAAGTGAAAATATGTTAAAGCATTTTGTCAGTTTACAAAAAGAAATTTACTCAAATTTGGGGCTACATTTGAGGTATATTATTTAATTAACAAATTATATATTTCTATTTGGAGGCTGATCCGTTGCCGATATTAAATTTATATCGACCGATTATCTATCCGGTATCATATTGATTTTATGTTCTGTACATACGAATCGTTTTAATTTTTAATGCATACATTTAGTGTTTTAATCGTTATGAGTCGATTTTTAAAGACGGCTTACTCGCTATTTTATTCAGAAAAATATTACGCATTGTTAATAGATGGCACTTGGACATATATTAGCGAAGTCTCAAGGTTTAGTCAATATTTTTTTGCCTAAAATATTGAGATAGCCGTTTTTAAAATTCGACTCAAGCAGCGATTTTGCATCACTTCACTACTTACATCTCATCACATATGCTTTTTAATAGTATAACATCTATAATTTAACTACACCAAAACATAATTTAAAAATATTATAATGACTAGTTATACTCTCCTCATGAATCTAAAATATATAAAATATTTTTTATTGTTAGATCACTTATTTATAAAATAACATTAATCTATTTACATAATACACTTATATTATCAAATTTGGAATAAATATTTTAAAAATTAAGACGCCATTTTATCCTATCGGAAATATTTATAATATTGGTCGATAACCTATATTTTAAAAGAGATGAAATATCGACTCGATCCGATAAAAATATCGGTGCATCCTTAAAACTCACTACAGAGTTGATATGATTTCCATAAATTGATAATATGGCATTTCATGCTACGATAAAAATATCGGTGCATCCCTAAAACTCACTACATAGTTGATATGATTTTCATAAATTGATAATATGGCATTTCATCATGCTATTAAAAGGAGCACATTTTATCTCGCCTATATCATCACGGCAAATAAACTCTTACTTTTAATTAGTGCTGCCAAGAACATCGATTAAATTTGAGTAAAAGGAACGCCATTCGTTCAGCACGCTTATTATTTATTGTTTTCTAATGAATATGGAAAAGATATACTTTATTTTATTATATATTATGCTAGCTGATAACTCGTCAGGAATGATGGGGATTAACGCATTTATTCTTTATTTGAAGATGCCCTTTATTTGATTATGGATATCGGATATCAACTTATCTTATAAGTTGTGAATAAGAAATTTACTTTTATATTGATTAAAGGTTATTTTTAGATGTTATATCAATTATATATGTTAGTAAAGTATATATTTAATACCTTCATTATACAAATATATATTTTTATATTTTCAATATATCTATATTACATAATTTCTAATGAAACGTCTTTAAGTGCCCAATTTTTTTTTAAAAAATATTTTCTACATTTGTATTTGTAAAAGGCATAAATAAATTAATCCTGTTAGCTGAGGGCTTTGTAAATTTTCACAAAAAATTGTATTTATGTGCATATGTGTGCACAATAAAAAATATTTTATACTTCATTTTTTTACATTTATTACAATTTAAGACCTAAAAAATGTAATCTTGCTAAATTAGGGTTTTCCATAGTTTATTTTCGATTTATTATTGCCATAAAACCCTCATCTAACAAGATTACAGTTTTTCAATTACAAATGTAGAAAATATTTTTAATTATAAGCAGAACCAAAGGGTTATCCAATACATTCACCCATTACAGGCCTGGCCAGGTTATTAAAAATTTTTTTTTGACCCAGCCCAAGTATATTAAAAAATTATAATATGGGCCAGGCCGTGAACCTGGCCAGGCTTGCAGGTCTCTGAAATATAACAGACATATGCATTGCCCTACAAAACTTTCATCTAGCAAGATTAAATTATTAGGTTATAAATTATAAAATGTATTAAAATGCATTTAAAAATAATTTTATATTGTGCACATATATACATTCTTAGATAACAAGTATATTCAAGCCACAGGTCTGCAATAGCCCAGAAGTGGCCGGAAAAATATAGTATTTTTACCACTCCCCGAGATCTGAATAGTTATTTCTGGTTAATGATGCTTACTACCAAGTGAATGTATGAAAATATTCTAAATACCAACCTAATTTGCTAAATACCGACCAAAATTTATTAAAATGTAATAAGACTTATTATTTAATATATTATAATGGAATCACATGGTCGAGTCCGGCCTCCTATATATCATCCCCCCAAGGATGGAACCACCAAGTTAGAATAAGAAAAAAAACATAATTATTACCGGGATTCGAACCCGTAACCATGGGATTAATAAGCGAATCTCTTGCCGACTAGGCCATAGAGGCTTTCCAAAAATCACGATTTTTCAAATATATATTATAAATATATTTGGTAGTGCCTATCCAAATGAAAAATAAACAGAATTTAAATTTGATAGGTAGTACCTTAAGGTAGTAAGCATCATTAACCGTTATTTCTTTAGGTTTAACAGCTTATATTTTGGTTTAGGTATCAAAAAAAATTAAAAATTGGGCTAGGCCAGACAACTTTATTAAAAAATTGAAACTGGCCCGAGCTGGGCAAAAATTTGGCTGGGAATAAACCAAATTTTCACTTGGCCGGGCATGAGAATTTTGTCATTTGCCAACCTTATATGTTCCAATTATTTGTTCATATTGAAAGTACTATAAATATATACTTCATTAACATATCCTTTAAAAATAATATTAAGAAATTTAAATAAGCTCTCATCAAATTAAAGATAAATTTCTGATTCACACTTCATAAAATAGGTCAATTTATGATTCATTCATTATCAAATAATAAAGGGGGCATTTCTGATTACCCATCATCAAATAAAGGAGAAATTTATTATTCCCCATCATTCTTGACAGGTTATCTGCTTATAAATGTAACTCTTTTAAAAATATAAAAAAACTATAATAATAAGATCGCTCTTTGAAAAATGAGAGATATTAGGGCTGTTAAGTGCTTCAAATAAGTTGAAAGCCCAGTATTTATTTTTTGTCCATACAGGCTAGCAAAGATATGATTTACTCTAATTTCTATGATAACAAAAAAATATTCAAATTTATAATAATTTTGATTATTTTCTACTGAAACTATATCATTAACTACTTATATTAAGATTGGGTATAAAAATTTTTTTTTGAGATATTATGAAACTTATAATCAAAAAGATTTACAATCTTCTAAATAATTTATGCATAGTTGTGAGTACATATATTTGCTGGAACCTTCAGAAAATGATTTAAAAAATATTTTTGTAATGTGATAGCCCTTTATATGTTGCTAATGGAGAGTAAAGTATATATTTAGTACTAAGAAAATAAAGCATTATTGTATTAAAATAAAATATGTTAGAAAAGTATATATTTTGTACCTTCAACTATGCAGATGTTAGTAATGGATAAATCATAGTTTTTATTTGATGTAAGCTAAATGCAGGGCCGTAGCCAGGAATTTTCAGCTAGGGGGGCCAAGTGCTTACTTGAGGGGGCCACTATTTTTTAAAATCAAACAAATAATTACGCATTCATAGAAATTTTTTCCTATTTTTATTATAAATTTAATAACAAAATAATACTATAATATGCATATACAAAATAAAATAATACTTGCATATACAAAACAAAATATTACTATAATAGAATACGGCTATTTTTATTTTTAAATTTTAATAAAAATGAATTAAAAGATAAATTTTGTGTTATTTTTTTTTCATAAGCCATCAATACTAAATTTTGCTTACGTTGTTACTGTATCGACTCTCTAGTGCTCGATAGAACTCTCTTTAGTTTAGAGAACTAGGCCTCATAAGAAGCCGTTGATATCCTAATGATTATGGCTGCTGAGTAGCATTTATACAATTCTTTAAATGCATGATGATAATTTTTTTATATATAATATGTAGAATATTTTCAAAATTATGTTTTTCTTTAACTTCAGAAGCTAACAATCCTTTTGCTATCTTCATTTCATGATGTAACGTTTCCATATTTAAGTTTAACAATGATTTTAATGGGGCCATTTTATCTGATAAAAAATAATCAGAGTCAAAGGGTGAGAATGTATTAAAACATGAAAGAAGATTATAATCATCTTGTGTAAATCTGTCTAAAAACCGATCAACAAAGTTATCAATAATTTCATAATAAATCCTTTTTAAAGAACTCCAATTGGAGTCTTTTTCACAATCAAATTGTAATTTGCTATCAAATAAAAAATCTTGAAAATTTATAGGCGTTTTACGTACCCTTGATGATTTTTGGGGAGTGAGATTAAATTTTGTTAAAAGTTTTTCAACCTTAATTCTAATCAAATCAAAAGAATTATAACTTCTTTTATTTTTTTAGTATATTGATCGTAGAATCAATATAATTTTTAGCATCCACTAGATTAGTACCTACTGACTGTAGATACTTATTTAGTGGATCTATTTATTAATATCTCATAAATTATAATGGCTAATATAACGTAATTTATATTAATGCGTTGAGATAAAAGATCAGAGTCTTCGACTGAATCATGAGTGGAAACCTCTGAATTAAGAGTTCTTTTAGAAAAATAAAATAATACTTCACCAATAGCCTCAAAATTCTATAAATGATGCGAGATGTTTCCAAATGACCAGTCCACCTCTGGTCTAAAAGTCTCTTAAGAGTATGGCCTGTATATTTACAGGATACTTTAAAACGCCTAAAAAAATTATAAAATGCATTGGATAAATTAAAAAAATTAGAAATGATAATAATATTATTATTCCAATTTTGAACACAAGATGCAACTGGTTGTAACAATGTATAAAAGGAACTTTTTTATTAATTTTTTTTTGAAGAAGGGTTTGCACTCCTCCATTTCGGCCAGACATAACGTTTGCACCATCATATGCCTAGCTTATTATATTCGTTGAATTAATATTTAAGTCACTAAGTTGTTTTAAAATATAATCAGTGATGCTTTCAGCAGAAATACACTCTAAATTAATAATTCCTATTAAATTTTCTTGGACTGCTCCAGAAAAAATATAACGAATAGTTATGCTCAAGTTTTCACAACCTGATGCATCTTTTGTCTCATCAGCCTTAA